AGGCAATCTGCTTATGCGCGGCTCATTACAGCCGGCCGCGCCAATAAGCCACACGACTACGCCGCCCGCGTTTTCCCGCGCCCATTCCCACAGATCTGTCGCGCAGGTGTCAAACGGCCGTGGGCCAATTTAAATCGCATTACGGCGACAACTCAATTGAAGATGGAACACCGAGGCGCGAAGAGCTAGGAAAAATCGTTCGCGCTCGCGCACAATTGGCGATTGGTCCAGTTAACTTTTCAACGAGCTCCGGCCGCTCTAGTTCTAAATTTAGCGATCGCTGACAATGGCGCTTGTACCGCCGCCATGATGGCTATTGTGACGGATTATTTAAAGATTTATTGCAGGTGAAAGCGTATAATTATATATTACATTTAAGCCACACTAAACTTTTATTATTATTTCTTATGTTTTAATTAAATTTAAATGTTATTTAATTTGTTATGATTCTACTCACGATTTCACCAAATACGAAAGCTAAGGAAAATTAAGAACATAAGCTGATTATTTAAGTAATAGACTTAAATAAACAGCTTATGTTGTGTATATTATGAAATAAGTGGATAATACTATTAATACATATTATTTATAATGTATCCAGGTAAGTTTGTGCGCTTACTAAATTAAAAAACATAATACGGACTGTACGTCCAAATTACTTTTCTGAACTTATCCCTCAACAACCTAGCGCCATATCATTATTAATTCACGTCGATATAAGTCCGAGCAGATCCCAAACAGTATCTTAAGACGAGACTGTAACAAACGTGCTATAAGATTTGAATAACAAGTCTTATTAATTCCTCCATTGATATTCTACACCTCTAATGTCAACATCGAAAACGAAAACACTTAAACACGCCGCTATATGACTCTTTTAAATTCAGATTTTGTCAATACTATAAATACTTTTTTAAAATTTTGTTGTTCTCTCAGATGTATTACTGGCAGTCAGTTTCTTCTATCTATACAGATGAATAAAATTGGAGTGTCTGTTTGTAATATTATAATAACCGCTTTTTACTAAATGCATATGAATATACACGGTACATATACCGAAACAACATTTTTTACAATTTTTGTTTGTCCATCTGTCTGTTTGTTCCGGCTAATCTCTGAAACGGCTGGACCGATTGGGACGGGACTTTCACTGACAGATAGCAAATTGAATAGAGTAACTTTGGCTACTTTTATTTCAGATTTTTATTTATTTTAAATTCCACGCGGACGAAGTCGCGGGCACAGCTAGTTTATAATAAATATAAAATAATCATTGATGCTTTACAATGCTGCTACGCAGTAAATATTTAATCGATAATGTGCGAGTCAAAAATGAAAATCATTTCTGCATCGATATAAGAAAAATACATTTCATTTATCGATAGTAATTTTTTATCTACCGCAAGTCGCTCACGTACCCTACGTACCATAATTTAGAAAAAACGGCAAAAAATCATGTTTGTTGTATGGGAGACCCTTTGAATGTTTTTTATTTTATTCTGTTTTTTAATATTTATTGTCATAGCGGCACAGAAATAAATCGTCTGTGAAAATTTCAACTAACTACCACGGTTCATGAGATACAGTCTGGTGACAGACGGAAAGACCGACAGACAGATACCAGAATCTTAGTAATAGGATTCTGTTCTACCCTTTGGGTACGGAACCCTAAAGAGATTACAATTTATAATCTAATGTCGAGCCGAGTGAGATTGTTTGAGCAAACCGTGTATTCTACGTTCAGAACAATCCGCCTCTATACGTTGTAAGCTCTAGGCCTTCGTAGGACTATTCAGCATTATGGAAATGGGGTCCATTAAGCTTGATTTAAATGTTAGCTCTGGTACTGCACCCTCCGCGGCAATTTGTCCAATAAAGGGCTCGCCATTAACGCGCCCGCAAATAATGCGCGGGCGCATTTTAATGCGTGAATAGTGTGCTCATCTGTATAAGGATCGTTAGCGATTTCGCTCCCGTCTTGCCATAGTGACACGTCTTGGCCAGGGGGCATAATTAAGGATCTCCTTTCGTCTCGAGCTATCGCAAATTGAGATCCCCGCAAGCGGTGAGCTAACTGAGCTAATTGCGCACACGAAAATGCTTAAACGCTACGAGTTTTTTTTTTGGTGCGAACACCGCACGTGAAGCTTCGGATCGCATAGTCGATAGTACCATTGTTAATTACGATTGAAACGACCGAGATGTTATCTGTGAGCTTAAATGGTTGGTTTTTTTTATAAAAGGATGAACGCGCTACGCTTCGATTTTTAAACGTCGTGCTGTCAATTGGGGAACTCGTATCACGACCGGCCCGTAGTCTACACTTTAGGTTATCAATCAAATCACAAACATTGAGAACCCTATTTGGTTAGTGAATGGTGAATCTCACCATTCACTACGCAAAAAATTCGATTACAAAAAAAATTCGAATAATTCTATTAAAAAAAAAAACGATACGCGAAAACGTTCGATTGCCACTACTGAAAAAGTTGTGTGATGAACATAGTATTTGCAAGGTGCTCAATGAATATAATCATACTGTATTTATTTAAAAAATAATAGTATGTTCAGTAATTAGCTAAGCCGATACCAATACAAAAATAAATGTTCACAATCGGTTCATGTATGACGGAGTTCTGAGGTGACGAACATAAAAGAAATACAACCAATTTGAGAACCTCCTTATTTGAAGTCGGTTGAGAAGCGGTTATAGTCTCGCCAACGTAAAGGAATCGCGGCGGCCGCACCGAGCGGCTTCCGATTCATTTGACACCGCGGGGCGAACGCTCGCCTGATGTTTTCGTCGGGTCTCGAATTTCGCGGCGCCGCCTTCAGCGTGCGAAAGCCAATTGAACGCGCCCCGGTTGACACGGAACGGCGGTACCACGAAATAAGCGCGAAACTCACGCGAACTCGAAGAACGCTCCGTGCGTCAGTGAGTTTTAGAACACGAGGTATATTAAAAATGTATCTTGAGACGAAAAAATTTATCCTCAGACGTAAAAAAACGTGTCTTAAACCTAACCAAGTCTTAATAGACGACATAGGTTATCCCCCGATACGTTTTGAAATTGTAGTTGTCTCTTTTAACAGAATCGCGATGGTGGACGTGCTTTCTATTATCATGAAAGCAAATCTGTTAACTTGTTCTGTCAAAATGGGTATTATTGAGGTAAATTATAATTGTTTAGTATTGGCGAAAATTTTAAAAAAAGAAACTCATATTCCACAAAGTAATAGCATCAACTCTTTAGAAACAAACTTAATTTACTATCAGTTGTTAAAAACAGCGAAATATAAAAGCATACAACAAATTAAGTTTTTGCTTTCGAGTTTACCGTACCTCGTAAATATCGTAGTGACTTCGCAGTAATGCGTGTAGCGTTGTAAAAACCGTTGACGTGGATCAGACTGAGTACCTGATTAGGTTAAGTTATCGCCGTGGAAAATTTTGTGCCGCGACATTATTTTCGCTAGTCGGCCCAATGCATCATAACGCATTTAATCTCTTCAAAATTCAATAAAACAATTAAACTAAACTCTTATTAGTTCAAAATTTTTTCGTGGATACACATGATATTATTTGAAGATGCCAATCAACGTGAATGCGCTAAAATAAAAAGAAAAGTTTTGTTGATATTGAATTCCCGAAAGAAGAAGAAGAAATCGACGTTTATTAAAAACGCTCATACGTTGAGTTTTATAGAAATATGACTGGAGAGTAAGTGATGGATTAGACAATGAATCCATCTTAAACCACCGACTGTAATTAAAGGGAAAAAATCGTAAAACTTATTTCTTACCATTTTATTTGAAGTGTCATTAGCATGGATTGGTTAAATACTTTTATTGTATAGCCCGCGAAGTAAGAATTTTAGGGTGGCTCACCACCCTTTGTTTATCATCCAGGTAAACAAAGATAACCTTCGAGATTAATCTACCCCAATCTTCTCATACTAATGGATCTATAAATAATATAAGACTATCTTTCGAAGGCAGGCGATATGACTCTAAGATGGCCCCCATCGTGGGAGAGGTTTATTAGTATCCGATGAGTGCATACGCGGAAGAAAAGACTGGGGAAATACCATTTTACTCTTCAACCTCAATATACTCCTATTTACTTGTTTAACAGTATAAAATGTTTACAAAATTATCTCATTACTATATCAATAAATCGTTCTAAAACGTAATATTGATGTAGTGTAAGTTTCATAACGTTTGATCTAAAAGTAAAATAAAATACCAGCCTATATTTCCCACTGCTTAGCAAAGGCCCCCTATGTACAGGGGTATTGGCAGACTTCACATACCCTAGAAACATTTTTTATCATTATTTCGAAAATATGCAGGTTTCCTCACGTTTTCTCCTTCACCATTGAACACTTTGTGTTAGCTTAATATTTGCAACGAGTAATTTTATTGGTACCAGCACCGGTTCTAACTCGGGTTGCTCAATTGAAATGAAAAATGAATTCAAAATCAAAATCAAAATCAAAAATATATTTATTTGTGCGCGTTAGAATCGTCAAATTTTGCAACGAGTCGGAAAGCAGTTTCTTTGAGAAGAGACCGGCAAGAAACTCAACAGTTGCTCTTTTTACCAGCACATCGGTTCTAGCCTACGTGAGTATCAACAGTATCAACTCCACACATTGGGTTGCTCAATTCCGAAATGAAATGCTTTAATCATTAGTTGATTAATGTACATTTAGTCAAGCGGATACCGAGCTTAAAATATCGACGTTTAATTTTAGCCCGGATCCAGTATCTTGAAATATCTTGTAAAAAAAAGGAAAATGGCGATATTTCGTTTATAACCTTAAACATTTTAACTTCTCTATAGCTGTCCTTTCGATTGTTATTCTACCTCCGCTTCCACATCGCACAAATTGTCGTAGTACCCTTGTAGTAATGATTCCTAACCTGACCCTGATTCTAACCGCCCATTTCTCAAACTAAAGCACTGGCTGATTCGTGTCGATGCTGAAGAATTATTACAATAAGTGTCGGCGGTAGGTACGGCCACGCAGTACGGCGCGCACTTTGTAAACAGTTACGGGCGGCGGCGGTGCGGCGGTGAGCAGTTGTTTGCACAACTTTATCCGTGTTTGTACGGCGACGGCACAGGCGTGGCGGTAGGCGTGCGCGGGGCACGCTCGCTCGCAGCCAGGGCTGTCGAGATGGGAAATCGATCGGGTCCTCAAATAAATCCAGCCTTTAAACCGCCCTCTACTGTAGTGTATTGTCCATGATAGGGTTGACACTTTAGTTACCGAGCATATTGGTAGGTGACGATGTTGATTCGGCTGAACTCTTCAAGTTGGGGCTGCCCACTTTTCAATACGTTAGGATATCCACACGGAGTCGAGCTTACGGTCTCTCACTGGACGTGACCTGTCAAGTAAACTTATCTCAGTACTTGAATACGATAATAATTATAGTTAAAATTATTTCTGTTATTAAGATTGATATTAATTAATTCAGCAGCCCTAGTTCACTCAAGCACTGCCGTTTGTTTGTTTATTATACTTTATGACATTCTAATTGGTGCGAAGGTGATATTAAATGTCACGTTACTCCGGTATAAAATTTTCGAATACCAAAAGTACATAGAATACAATTGCAAAAAACCCATTCAATTCTCACAAAATATTCCAATTTTATTTAAATCTGTATATTAAATCCTTTAATAATGTATAACATAATTAAATTGTTTAAAAAATATCGTTGGCTCATTAACATAACCTTTTTTTTTTGCATTCATCGTATTTAAACACCAAACAACCACAGACGAATTAAATACTTGAAAGTTCAATTAATATGAAAATCTATTTTGTGAAAATGAGCCTGTTATTCTTATTCAATAAAAATTCATTTTTTATATATTTTAAAGGATTTAACAACCTATCATTCCCATTTTTTTATACATACACGTAAAAATATCCTCAAGTCTTACGGCATAATCTTTATAATTTATTTATTTATTTAACACCAACAAAGTACACACTGTGACCTGTAATCTTTATAATGAAAATACAAGCTGGTCTGAATTTTTCCAAACGCACCAAGAGAACTCATCACTTCGAACAACATAATGTAATAGAGTATAAGAAATACCCCAAACACAAAATATAACTCCACAATATTACGATGTTTCATAATAAAAGAAGTGTTAAGATCAATCAATCTTAAATAAATCGAAAAACTGTTTGTATTAAATTTCGTAACCAGAAGAGTAACAGTTGATATTCTATCATTTTAATTTTATGGACGAAGAGTTTGGTTTCACTGAGCACTCGGGCGGAGCCGCAAACGAAAGCTAGTCATGCGATGGATAATAAAATATTTAGGTCAAATGAAACGCAAAATTACACTAACAAAAAATTAATAAATATTTAAATTAGTTCTTTCAATTCATCAGAAGTACATCGCTTTGTCATGTTAAATGACAAACCCTCATTCGCGAATGGTCAAACATTGAGATCATTCGTGACAAAGCAACAAAGCCTAATAAGAGACATTCTCCGTCTCCGACGTTCTAGAACAATTGGAATTCGGTTAATGCAAACTTATTTTCAAGATGCTCTTAGAAAAATGCCGACGGTTAACAGAACAGGAACGCTTCCAGCGCAACAAGCAGCAACCTGCTGATTTCAGTATCGTAATACGATAACATAACTATTTTTTCTTCGTATCAAGTGCTTGTGCAAACATGGAATCGATGTTGATTTTTTAACCCGATTAAAACGCGATATTGTGGCAAGAGTAAATATCAGGCCAGCTAAGAGTTCAATACTCTTTAAAATCGAACGAAATAATATTTTTTTATCTCAAGTCTATATTCGGGGAAAATTTACTATGGCTGGCGATATTACGTAAATATTGGCACAACTCCATTACTTTTATTAAGATTACTTTACTTTTAGATTTATTCGGTTTTAAAATCGAATCATGACTTGTTTATGATGTGTAAAGGCCCATTTACACGATGCCATTTTCTTGTACATACAAGAGCAATAATTGAATGCAATAAATTGCGCGCAATAATTGTTAAGACCATTTGTTGTTTAGACCATGCAACTCATTTATTGCTTCAATTTAATTGTATACAACAGGCAAGAAACTGTCACCGTGTAAATGGGCCTTTAGTCTCGCTAAAAATCGAGAACGCCTGGACTGATTTGGCTAATTTTGATTTTCAAATATTTGTGGCAGTCCAGGGAAGGTTTAAAAGATGAGAAATTATGGAAAAATTGCATGGAAAATCGAAATAGCAACAATTTTATTTTCCCATACAAACTGTTCCTACCTGTCAAACATTTGGGTGCGTTCCGAAAATACTTTTTCTATGTGTTCCGATTCACAAGTTCCCTAGAAATAATTCACATGGCAAAACAACGTTTGCTGGGTCAGCTAGTTTTTAAATATATACGTATTATACAGTCAAAAGAGAAATTAGAAGAATGTGAAAGAATATACCCAACCAACATAATTTACACGTGGAAAAATATTATATTTATGAGTCGTATAAATAAACAGGTTTAACAAATTTACAAAAATGAGTTCAACTTACGCTCCATTTCATTCAAATTACTCGTACCATAGACAGAGATAGTGCTCCAAAAGAGTTTTGCGAAGTTTTAAAGAGTTAGAGCGAATGAGGTAGTGGATCGTCTGATGACCAATTACCGACCAAAACTATAACACCCGGTGTGTTGCAAAGTGAAGGAGTAGGAGCTACGGACATTTAAAACTACGCTAAAGCTACGTGGACAAGTAATTTTGTAGTTACGATATACATTAAACTTTCTCCCCAATTCTCAGAAATTTCATTAAGGCTGCTATAGAACTTACTACTAAACTTGCTAGGTTATTACCACCATAACATATTATTATATATTCAAAGGCAGATCTAATAACCATTAAGATCTGATTAAGGTCGATAAAGACGTGCTGTTTGAAGTATCACTCACCAAACAAAGCGTAGAATTATATCATTTCCAATTAACGTTGGTCTTCTGTAAGTCCATGGTACTTTCCTGAACAGACCTACACATTCGAGCAACAGCCACTGCGGCGTGGCCCTACCACAGTGTACATTAGTTTACCCTCACTCATTCGTCACCTCCTGTTATAAAAAAACATGAACACTATATAAGTATATCAATTTCATCAATTGATAAACGTAGTAACTAAAGCTGAATGGAGACTTAATTTTTTTATATGAATATCGCTTTTGCCGTATTCCCACCGACCGGATTCTTGTTTGACCTGAAAACTAATTATAGTCCGCATCCTGTGGTATTTGATTCCGCCATTAAATGTAATTGAATGCAAATCGCTCTGAGACAGTATAAATATTTATAAAGATCTTGTAAATTATGGTGAATATTTTAATATATTAAGACCAAGAGTAAGTCGTGACATTGATAATTTGACCTATTGTTATTTCAGTCTTAAATTACAAATGCTAAATAGCAAACGTTTTTCACGTCAATGTGTTTTTTTCGGCGTAGAGATATCTTAAATGCCAATAACTGACACAGATACTAAAAAACAACGAGCCGCAAGATAGAGACGTTTAAAGGAAGTTGGAGTCGGAAGATCTAAATGTGTTTCTTTTATTTCACTGTAATAGGGTCACGAGTCAACTTTTGCTTTTGCACGAACAGGCAGGCGCATCCGGGGAACGGCGTGAAGTGGAAGTGTAGCCTTTCACGTTTCGTCTGGTAGATGAGTTAACTCGGGACTCACTTTTAGCAATCTTTAGATTTCATCCAAACCACCTCGATGACCAGCGTTCCACAACAGCGCGATTTTCAACCCTGACCCTCCTGCTCGTTTGCCGCTTTTTTCCCATAAAAAAACCGACCTTAATGGCTGGCATCTCCTCAGGTGTTGTAGATGTTCTTGCGTGCAATCGCAGGTGAAATCGCATGGTCTCGCATGCCAACATAGCATATTAAAAAAATAATTATCAATCTCTAAGAGGGCCCGGGTATCATAATTCTCACAACAAGTTACAAATACTTTACGTACTTTCAGTGGACTTAAATGGTACTTCCGTGAAAGAGCCAGCCCATTCAATTAACAGCAGAAACATCAAAATGTTGACGCTAGTTTTTAAACGGGCCTGTGACCGAAAGTTTTGGACTGAAAGTGTAACATCATCCATCACAAGAAACAAGAGAATAGCAGAAGTTGCCGTGTTGCTGTACCATAGTAAAATACATATGCGTAAAAGTAAAAAAAAGTAAACTAACAGCCTGTACATGTCCTACTGCTGGGCAAAGGCCTCCTCTGTACAGAGGGTATCAGGGCATAGACCACCACGCGGCCCCACTGCGGATTGGCGGACTTCACATATCTTCGAAATATTTTTTTTTGTTATTATTTCGAAAATCTGCAGGTTTCCTCACGATGCTTTCCTTCACCGCTTAGCGTGTGATAAGTCAGCACGTGATAAGTCAGCACGTGATAAGTCAGCACGTGATAAGTCAGCACTTGAAATTAAAAATTTCATTGGTGCCGGCACCGGGGATGGAACTCAGGTTGCTCGAGTATAATGAATTAAAGGCGAGCGCCCGGTCACAGATCTATCACGGCTCCAACATATGCGTACAACAAATTAAAATAAATCCTATATATGTTATAGTGAACAGTAACCCAACAATGCAAATACTTTACAATATTCAATGGCATTTCTGGATGCAATAAAATCGGCTTATATTTCACTTCATTACAGATGTTTTGAAATAATTTACTTCTATTTTAATGGGCTTTTGTTCATTTGTTCACTTCATTATAAATGTTTTAGAATACTACGTCTACTTCTTATTTTTTATGTGAAAAAATGGCACGAGACCTGGCGGTTCACCCGATGTAAAGCGTTAACTGTAAAGCTCTCGGGGTTCAGTGTTCAAAAGGAAACCTTTATTATAGCGTAATGAATTAGAACTTCATCGATTTTCGTTAAGAGTTCGGTTCATCGAAGAGAAGTTTTTTTTACTATGAAAAGCTCTTTTTCTCGTGTTGGATAAAATTATAGAATGATATAATGTCTCTTATATTAAAATAATATAATTTCCAAATCAAATAAGGCATTCCATACGTATAACGAGACATGTAAAATTAAACAGCGTACACGTAACAATAAAGGTTATTTGTTCATCCTGAGCATAATTACAAAAAAGTATTCGTTTCTTTAATTTTTTCGGGTTGGTTAAAACAAGAACCATGGTAAAGATTTAAACAGACACAGCGATGACACATACATTAGTTGGTGTTCTTCATGAATGTATATTATATATATTATAAATGTGAATGTATATTATATTTATTATAATATATGTACGACCGAAATTCACTTTGGGGTTGATTATGTCGAGTATGGGTGACGATTGTAGTCAGCAGAGACTACAATCGTCACAGTTTATTTTACAAAAATCGTTTTGCTATGTGACGTCACAGTTGGCAGCAGGGGCGTAACGGCCCTGGCTGAGAGGTCAGAGCCTATGGCCAGCCGAGGTATTCTTGCGGCGATTTTGTTCAAGTGTGAGCGATTTTAACTCGAGGAATCAGTAAAATTATTTGAAAGTTTACTGATCTTATTATACATATAAATGATGCTCTCCTAAAAGTTTAAGTCCTTCAATTGAAGTTCTAGCAAATATTAAATACATTGATCTAAAGTAATAACACATAAGCTTCCCTCTCCTCTTAACCCAAAGCAATACAACCTTTTTAGAGTTCGGTTTTTATGACTATTTACATGCCGCGCTGAGAGACCTTCACACAAAGCAATTAAAGTCGTCGACAATTTGTATTCAGCAATAAAGTGTTGCTGGCCGCAACAATAGCACGCGAAAAAAAAAACCAAGCTGTCTCCAATTCGCATAAGTGTTGCTGGCCGCAAATATAAGCACGCGAAAAAAAAATCCAAAACCACCATACGTCCCGGAATTCGCGCCGATGGCGGGACCGTCCCGCAGTAGACCACGCGCTAAGTATTCAGCGCGCCGATTGATGGCCCACGAAATTTCCCGGTACCGTGCCGCTCACAATGGTATTATGATAATTTATCGGTTGGCTTGTGCCGGCCGAGTGTGTGGGAACACGCGCGGAACGGCCTTTCCCACGGCGCCGCGTGCAGTGGAGGAATGTCTCGCGGGCTACTGACGGCGGCGTCGCATACGACCTTCCGAGTCTGGGCGCTATCGCCGCGACGGAGTAGAAAGGTCTCAAGCGCCGCTCGGTCGCGAGGAGTGGCACTTTCAGCGCGTGACGCGGACGCGTGTCGCCACTTAGGCCCTTCCGCCGCTGGGCGGGCCAAGACAGAATTGGAGTAGCGCTCCGAGGCGCTGCACAATAGGTCGATGTGCCGACTAGCGGTGCTGGGAACTCACGCCTTCGCGCCTCCGTATTGTTTTCGGATGACTAATTCCGTTTGCTGCGCACATACCTTTGATCTCTTCGTAAAATTGATCGCAATATTTGAATACCGGTCGACGCGGTATATCGATCGATTTGTTGTAAAAAAAAAAAAAACGCGTTGAATTAAATCAATCACAGCGCAATTACAGGTTCGCATTTGGGTCGCGAATTATTCGATATCGTATAAAATTACGGTCGGATTATAAAGCGCAAAGCGATTTCTATCCTTCGGTCCGTCTGTCCGAGACGGAGGCGATAACGCACCGCGCGAACTTACGCCTTTGCTTCCCCGGCGCTAGGGTTGCTAACCGCCTTCATTTTGTTCTAACCACATAAATTTTTATGTTATAATTTTTTAAATTTATAAATACATTTTATAAATTATTATGTTATAATTCTGTCTGTTGCTAATTATAAACATTTGCTTATAATGTTCTACACATCCAAATATTGTTTTCATAATAATTATGTATAAAAATTATTACAAAAATTTCGCACAGGTAAAAAGATAATTAGGATAAGTTGCGAATAAGTAATATTATTCAGTCAAAATAAAAAATTATTACTTACTTACTTTTTTCATAATATTTTAAAAGTATTTACTTAAATAGACAGCTGTTATAAATTGCCACGAGTCTTCTTGTACTCGCTTCGTTATTGTGTTGTCTAATAAAGGGACTTGCTTGCTTGCGTGTCTGTTAGACGGGAGGGTGCGCGTGAGAACGCGTGCTGGCCAGGTGCCTTCAGCTGACTCCCTCGAAATGTCTTACCGAACAGCTGCCAAGTAATACATTTTTTTATATAATAATAATTATAGAATAAAAGGAATTATCAGCGGTAGAAATTAAATCACTCTCAAATATTTAACACAAAATTACTACTTTAAATTCAGAAAACATGATTCTAATTAAGAAAAATATATTATTTTACAAACAATTATCAAATTTCTTTGGAACTGATAAAGTATCACGATATGAACATACAAAAAATATATATGTTGTGCCTGTAAATAGTATTTTAAAGATAATACAAAAACCGTAAAGCAAAACATGCACATGTAAAATTTAATGATTTTTAATACATTACCCCTAAATCTGTAAACAATGTTTCTTGCTTTTAAAATTCTTTAATTTATAAAGATTTTATGATGATTGTTTTAATACTGCATTGGATAAATTTAGTTCATACAGAAAAAAAATTCTCAGTTCAAACCAAAGGGCATATAAAAAAATCGCTATTAAACAAAGAGTATCCAATCGGCAGCCCTATTTTTATCACGGGCGCTTCGCCACAATCGAGCGTATGGCGCATAAATACAACGCGGCGGCTGCGCGCGGCTCACTCGCTGCACGGACGCCGCGCGGAACGCACCAATGATCCTGCCAGCGAGAGCCATGTCACCGCCGCACGGCGCATACTCGCCCCACGAGGAGGAACCGGTCTCCAGGACCTACCAGTATCGGAAGGTCATGAAGCCGATGCTCGAGAGGAAGAGGCGGGCGCGCATCAACCGCTGTCTCGACGAGCTCAAAGACCTAATGGTCACCGCACTGCAGGCGGAAGGAGAGAATGTATCGAAACTGGAAAAGGCCGACATCCTAGAGCTGACCGTGCGGCACCTGCACAGCCTAAAGCGCCGGGGCCAGTTAGTGCTGAAGCCGGAGATGTCGTACGCGGAGCGTTTTAGGGCCGGATTCACCCAGTGCGCAACGGAGGTGTCGCAGTTCATCGCGAACGCCACGTTAGCGGCGAACGCGATGCAGAGGCAGGGGCCCGTGGACCCGCAGGCGGGGGCCAGGCTTCTGCAGCACCTCACCAGCTGCATACGGAGGCTGGAGGGTCCAGCGCAGCCGCAGCCGATCGCCCCGAAAGTCGCGAGGCCCACACCGCTGCAGGCGATCGCACCCGCTCCGGCGCCTCTGCAGCCCCCGCAGAGGCCGGACCCGAGAGGCGCGAAGAGGCCGGCGGAGGCGCAAGCGGACCTAGAGGTGAACCCGAAGAGGCCGTACGCGCCGCCCTCACCGCCCCACAGCCCCGCCTCCGAAACAGACCCCGCCCAGTCGATGTGGAGGCCCTGGTGAACGCGCCAGTACCCTTGATCTCTCATGCCCCATCCAGGACTGTGTGACAGAGCGTGTGATATTTAAGCGTTGTCGTTTGACCTAGTTAACGTTCCTAGAACCGATGTGTGTTGAAAAACTTGTCGAGTCCCAATTCCGCTCGCGTGTCTTGTTGAAGTTTTGTTTTTAATTTAATAAAGTAAGGATTTTTTCTTTTTGTTTTACGAACGGATCTGTTATTTTTTTTTGCTTTTCGTTAACCTCGCAGTCGTTTATGTCCGTCGGTCGAGGCATTTAATCTGTTCCCAAACTTATAAAGTACAGTAGCGCTTAAGTTGTGACTGTGATATTTGTAGTTTGCTCGTGAGAGACTTAAATCTATTATAATTACGCGTTTAGGTTAATTGTTAGTCCATAACGCTAGAGAACAATAAACCAGTGTTGTATTACGATAGCTTTGTTTAATGTTAAACCCCCTACGCCGGCATAAATTGAGTAAAAAAAATACTATGCCAATTCCAAAATTTTGGCATTAAATTCAAACACCATTACTGGCACTCCCACTTTCGGTACTTCGGTATAAACGATACAAATGTATCAAGATTTTGTTTACTAACACGAAATCTCATTGATGAGACGCCGAAGTATAAATCTATGAAAAAAAAAAAACCACAACTGTCGAAGGCTATATAAGATTAAATTCCTATTAATGATATAAGCTTTTAAATAAGCATGATTATCTTAATATACATTCGATAAAAACTATCACAAAAAAGAGTTTCTATTGCTTTAATTAGTTGTGGAATATTAAAGCTGCATACAATGGGTGATACCGTGATAATGTATTACTAAATGGACTGGGTAGTATGTCAGTTCTTTCCCACGCTATCGCAGTGCTATAATTTTCGTCGGCCATAAATAACTGCTTTTATGTGCTTTTTTTTATAAAACTTTTTTTAACAGTCGACTTAAAAAAGTCTAACATTAAAGGCTTAATCTATTATGTGCATATTTTTAGTCTTTACAGTTTCAAATGGACTGTTTTAATTATTGATTTTTATTACAAGACGGTAGTGAATATAGCAGTTTTTCTTTTATTCATGAGCATTTCGAAAGTCCAATGAGAACGAATGTACAGATTGTACTTGAATATATACTTGTACTTGAATTTACTATTTAGGATGCACGTAACTAATCCATCTACTAGGTATCTTCTCATATGCAACGCGAGTTAAAATTACAGTTTCATTAGTAACTGTTAATTTAATTTTCAAATGCCGATTTAACACTCGCTCGGCGGTGAAGGAATACATGAACAGGAAAGCCCGTATGAAATAAATAAAATAACCAAAGAAATTGCTCTTCGTGGAAAAATATTTGAAGTTTTCTCCCCAGGGACATACCTAATGAAACGCTATGTCCTAACACCCTCTGTACATATAACCAATATTCGTTATTGCCTCATTCGTTATTTATTCCGGTTAACAGTGCTGTTCCATATTATTTTATGTGAGGCAAGTGAGCTGGCAGTTCACCTGATGTTAAGTGATAACCGCCGGCCAATTGCACATTTGCAACACCCGTAGGTTGCCACCTTTTAATAAAGAGGGCCCCGACTACCTCACGCACCAGACGTAACGCAAAAGTATAATATTTCCTTCACGCCGGTCTTCTATGAGGTAGTTTATTTAACTATGAATCTATGTAACTAAATATGCACTAATTAAGAAATAATTCTTAAATATGAAACTGTTATTTGCGTAGTACTAGATATAACTTCGACGTTGATATCTCTGATGTAGAGACAATTGAAATCTTTGTTTAATATGGTTCCTCTGCTACTGTCGCCTAGTTTTATCAATATTTAAATCGAATGAAAACATATTACATTATTGAATAAAACTATATTACAACCATTGCTAGTTTAATGTGTAATAATATTATAAAGAGTACAAATTATATGATATATTAGTATGCGGTAGATAGACTACAAACCACCGTGCCTATTTATAAAAAAATATTTTCCCTTGTACGATTGTACAAGGGAAAATATTTTTGTGACATAGATTTAAATATTTATTGTCACATACGGTACATTATTCTAGTTGGACGTAGGCAATGAACACGCGCACATCCGCGTAATGTTTATAATATACATAACATAACAATGCTATGTATAATAATAAATACTAGGGTTATATATTACAGTCATGTCGGTCGGAGTGTGTACTCTGCTACTGTAGTAAAAATTATTCGAAAATGGCTGATGTTTATCTAGAATAGTTCTAAAGTAAAGGTCTCTAAGTCCGCTTTCTTAGGATAACATTAACCACTCTTATCTAAGAAATTGTCATAAAAAATGTTAAGTTACTCGAGCTTTTAGCCGATGAGCACTGATAAGTCAGTGTCCAGGCGCTTACTTTTACTTCGACATACTTGAACAACACGCTGCCAGCACCAATGAAATTGTTAATCACAATTTTAACTACTAACTTAGTACGTATTCAGCGGTGAAGAAAATCTTCGTGAGGGATGCTGCATATTTTCATAATAAGAATAGAAATATTTCGGAGATGCGTAAAATCTGCCACTCCGTGTGGGGTCGCGTGGTGGACTATACCCTAATATCCTTTGCCCAACAGTGGGTCATATATAGGTTGTTACTTTACTTCTTTTTAATATTTTGGCCCATGTGGTGTTAATTTAATTTAAAAATATTATCTATGAAGTTATAGCAACAGAAAACTGTTGAAAACGTTGCCACTCTAACAATTTTTCCTTAAAAATAATATGAAGGTATTTTAAAAAAATACAATTCGAATATATTATCACAGTTAATCATTGAATAAACATAATTATGTATATTTATATAAATACAATTCTATTACAGTGAAAATGATAACAAACGATAAAAGGACACTACTCTCTACAAATTTTAGACCGTTGTATAATTTAGGAACCAACAATAAAACAGGTTTAATATACTAAGCTAATTTGGTACATTATATTGTGAGAGAAGAGAAATATCTTTTAATGTAAAAAGTTGGACACATTCATCTAAGTAGGTTTAGATGAATAAACAGATATCTTTAGAGCATAATTCTGGAAACATAGGACAAGAAGTATCGAATAGCCAAATACCTTGGATGAATTACTTACTGTTCGCTACAGAATCCCTCTCAGAGATTCAGTATCGAGCTCAAAACTTTCGTCTCGGCACATAAACCTATCAATGTTCCCTTTCTCAGGCTAATAACACCTCACAAAGCGTCTCTGAACAAGGCGCGTAATTAATGGGCTTTTACAAAGCTAGTGAGTTGCCCAACTTGATATATCACTGCTTATCGTAAAGTGAAAAAATAAAAATAAAAGCGTGATAGTAAGCGCTGGCCAGTTGGTAGAACGGAAAAAAAGAAAGAAAAGAAAAAAGTAGATTTCGAAAAAGGAACGGTCGCCTTTTACCCGCATCACGTTATGCGCGTAAGTGCGATCGCGATATAGACGCGAGCGCAATTAGAAATTGGTTCGATCCAACCTAATTGGTTCTTGCGGTTGCGTGCGCCGCGCCGTGGGAAGCTCCGGTGGAAATGGCACGGTCTCGAACGATTTGGAGCTGGGCTATGACTGTAAGATATTCGATACGAAAACGACGTCGCGCCCTCGAGTCTCGATCAACTCGCTCAGTTTTTTGTTTTTGGAACACGATACTAGTTCCGAAATCTATTACATACTTCCTTTTCTAAAAAAAAAATAGTGTTAGAGGAAAGTAAAGGTCTGTCTCCTTCTCAAGAATGGATTATGGGTTTACTTATTTATACATTTTAAAGAGGCATTTAATTTAGATTCAAAAATGTGGTGTTAGGCGCTGATTATATTGAAGTGCCGTGTGATGAATGTTTTGTTATTCGGAATTTATTCGTACTTGAATCGACGCCTGTTATCTATCTTGTATCTTGTATTAACTGATGTTTGTGCTTTCAGTCCCGAGACTATTAAAGCTTCATCTGACGTAGAAACGGTGGGCTAGCCAGAACCCACGGGTTTGGGCCCTCCGCTGTGGGTAGGGACGCGCATGTGCTCATGCGTGCGTTTAACTACGACATGTCATCTAAGGGCCATCGAAGTTGCGGTGCGGACCGAGACCCCGATGGCCGTCGACTGTGTTTTTAGCTAATCGGTGGCTGGCGGAGGTGAGAACCGCCCTGGAACGCGGGTGTGCCTTGTGTACGCGTTGTGTTGGTCTCGCCGTGCTCGGGGGCGAGGGCGAACTAATGTGTTTGTTGCTACACTAACTGTGTGGCTAGTGTTATCCGGCGGGACCCCCGACTGTGGGTCCGACGTACCTAAGTCCCCTTCCTCGATCAGGGTCGATGAGGACGTTTCGCGGGCGACGCTTGTTTACGTTCACGTTTGGATCGGGTTGGTAATTTGCTGCGCTTACCACCAGAGGCTTAGGATGATGTTCGACTCTATCGAAGAACCGTTTGGTCAGGTCTTTGAAAAATTCGCGATTCGTCGGGAGTCTGCAATTATTATTTCTATTACTTGTGAGGCTTGACTATGCCGTAATTGGGAAATTTTTAGACCAAAAATAACATGTCAGGTAAAAATTAGCCAACCGATAAGTATTCAAGAAGGTAGGTGAGACGAATCCGTGATACATTATCTTGTGACGTGTTTGGCAATACTTTAAAAGATGTGACGTCACAACCGTGGACTAAATTCACCTTAAAATCCGAAAATCCAAAACTCGACGCAACGTGGATTGAATATTAAATGACACATTTATCAAGTTCATTTAACCAAACGTATCTGAAGTCTTTTTTCACTATCACACTTCGAAAATTTAAAAGACACGCAACGTCTAGACATCAAAAAAGTGCCAATGTAAAATGAAACAAAAAAGCACCACTACAACTAACAATACATCCTCAGTCTTAGATTCTTTCACTTTTGCAATTTAAGACGATATAAAGTAAATTTTCAATTAGACGGTGAATAAATAACATTTCGAACAAATTTACACAGCCTGAACTTCTTTACAATATGGTGTTTTGTATGGTGGTAGGGTATCGCAACAGCTTCTGTTGTTGCATAAATGGGCAGACTTATCCGGGGAGAACCATGGCCACACAGAAGACCGGTCTGGATTCAAAATGTTATACTTTCGCGTTTCGCCTGGTGAGTGAGGTAGCTGGGGCCCACTTTTTAAAGATTGGCAACGCATCTACCACCTCTCAGGTTCCTTATATGTCCATGGGCGGCGGTATTCACTAACATCACGTTAACTGCCTGCTAGCTTGCCATAAAAAAATTACCTCAGATAATATAATGGCTATTACTAGATTAGTCACGAAAATTTCGAAGTATCTAAATGTGTCCATACACTAACGCCCGCCATTAGTCTTACTTCATAATACCAATACTCAACAGATGTTTTATTACAACTTGATGGTATCAAGTTGTAATAAAAACTGCAGTCAGTCGCACTTTGTGGGTGATCTAGTCGAAAGGGTGTTACGTAAACTCGAATGCCGGATCGAGGCAGCACGAATCGATACCTTAGACTTTTACTTTTTTTATATAAATCCCGCCATCTAGCAACTTGATACGATTGTTTAATTTAGATCGACGGAATTATTATGCATCCGTAGGCTTCATCATTCAAGTCGGGGAAAGGTTCTGGTTTTTGATTTATTCTACTAATGCTGTTATTCTAAATCTATGTATTTTATTAAAAATTCTCTCATTTTTATTATATCTAGTATTAACAATATGTTAAGGGTGCCAAGAACGCTAGCTACATTTACTCGCTGAATAGTTACGCTTAACCTTTAAGAGAAAAGAACCAGCCCTCTTGTCAACAGCCGCAGCGATAAGTCTAAAATGTAAACCTTTAAAAATTTTTGACGTTGTACATGAGATTTTGCAACAAAAATCTTGCACACTCCCATTAAGTTACTGCGATATGAATAAAAATCTCTTAAACGGCAGATCATTTTCAAATAGCAAATTGATAGGTAACGAATAAAAAAAAACTATATAATCTGTTAAATTAGTGCTTGATGGTTCTGCTAGAAAGCACCGGTGCGCCGTAATGGAGAAAATATTGATTCTTTTGCGTTTCTCTGAGAAAAGGTATCCGAAGACCGACCATGTTGACAATCAGTTATTAGGTTGGCAATGTCCCTTCAATCTCCATGTCTATGAGCAGCGATTTACCGTCATATGCATGTTTGCCGCCTTTAATAAAAAAAAATATCAATTACATTGACCAATATTTTACCCCCAAGTCATCTACGCTCATCGATTGCCATTCTTGTGCTTACTGCTTTTATTGCCCAAAAAGTCTCAACAATAATTATTCTCACTAACACTTAGCGTGTGTAAGAATACGCGACCTATCATCATATCTCAGTATTTTTTCCTTTATCCGTCAAACATCGCGGACCGGTGCTAAATGCGTCGACTAGAATTAAAACGCCAACAGTACTTGAAATTTATCAGAAAAGGAGGTTCTATATTTAATGTGTATAAAATTACTTATTCAAATATATAAAAACCTCCTTCTTTTTGAACTCCTTGAAAATTATAAAACGCCTTAAGCACTATTAAAAAAAAAAAAGACTTTTAATAAGGAGTCCTATGGGCAATCATTCACAACTTTCAATCTGTTTATGTGGATTTATGTTTTTATTAAAAACGAAATGAGTATCGCTTAGTTAGAAACGTGATGACCTCCGCTAACAGTCGAAGCATGAGAGTCGAGGATGGAGTTAATTGATTGTAGAAAAAGTGTTGCGTTATTGAGATGTGCTTAAGTGTTTTTTTTTATTATAAGATGGAGGTCTTTAATGTTTTAGCGATTAAAATTACTGACAAACCGATAGGCGTAGTGGATAGTGAACCTGTCTATTGCGCCTGAGGGTGTGGTTTTGATCTCCACTGCTAGAAAAAGCCTTACTTAGTTTGGGGCTAGATAACTTTGTCTAAAAATAGGCCCTGAAGCATTTACTCAATTTTTAAATAAAATTTAAAAGTGATGTGAGTGGTAGATGCAATATTTTACTTATTCAACTTCGCTTGTAATTGAATTAAGTTTTAATGAAAATAACAAATTTAAACACACCTCGCCGCAATAAGAATTTTCTTCCAAAATCAGACTGCAATTTCTTCGATTTCTTCAAAAGACATTGCTTTTCTCTAAAATTTTACTTGTGAAAGCGTCAGCATCTTTAAGCCATGAAACTATAAAAGACAGAATTATCATCGTATAAGTTACAATCGATTAGCGATATTATTGAGTCGGTCCCGCCGTGAGACTTCACATTAGTTCAGACCATTTGATTTGATATACATATAAGTACGTTACAAGAATAATGTAATCGTTTATACGTCACCCCGTGTGTACGCCATTTTCGATGAAGCTTTACATAATTTCTAGAAAAGAACAAAACATTCTTAATCTATACAGATAAATAAAATTGGAGTGTCTGTTTGTAATATATACAAATACAAAATAACCGTTTTTTACTAAATGCATGGATGTATACACAGTAAATACACCAAAATACACATTTTACAATTAAAAATACATTTTTTTACAATTTTTGTCTCTCTGTCTGTCTGTTTGTTCCGGCTAATCTCTGAAATGGCTGGACCGATTTGGACGGGACTTTCACTGACAGATAGCTGATGTAATAAGGAGTAACTGAGACTACTTTTATTTTAGATTTTTTTTTATTTTAAATTCCACGCGGACGAAATCGCGGGCACAGCTAGTAATATTATAAACGCGAAAGTTTCGCATGTATGGATGTACGGATGTATGGATGTTTGTTTCTCTTACACGCAAAAACTACTGAGTGGATTTTAATGAAACTCTACAATGATACAGTTTATAAATCAGAATAACACATAGGCTATAATTTGTAAAGATACAAAGGTCTCTTAGAGTGACTCTGTCTGTCTGTTACGCCTACACGACTAAACCGCAGAACCAATATTGATGAATTTGGGTATAAAGATAGATCGGGCGTTGGAGAAGAAAGCCACTCGAAATACCAATCCGGCATAGAGGAGGTCGCGGGCACCAGCTAGTCATCACATAAAGGCGACTTCTTCGAAATAGGATGCTGGCGAGTGTCAAATGCCGGTATAAATTAGTGTTTTTATCGATATTGGTGTAGATTGAGGTCTCGCTGTGTGGGTTGGTCGACGGTTGGCGAGCGGTTGCCGGTCGAGTCGGTTGCGGGTCCCACGTCGGCGCTCGTGATTGCGGCGCGCGCCGACGTCGTCACGCGCCCGCGGTCGCTGCACGAGCGGCGGGGGCCGGACTCGGGAATATTTAATTATTTCAGCACGTTTTAGCAATCTTTTATCACCTCCAAAAAGAGAACATTGTCTTTCCTAAAAGGCAACGCAACATTGCAAATAAGCCCTCTGGTGTTGCAGGTGTCCATGGGCGGCGGTGATCACTTACCGTCGGGTGAGCCTACTGCTCGTTTGCCGCTTTTTCCCATAAAAAAACGTTGGCCAGAGGAGCATATACGTAAAAATACAAATGTATAGTGTAATATAACATTGATCGAAATTAAAATTAAGTTCAGACTTATGGTAAAGGCAATGGTATGGCCTAACACTATACTTTCATTTAAAAAATTACACAACGTTATTCCGTACATAATTTCAACAATAACTAACAGATTCAAAATATCTCCAAAAAAATTTGCTTTTATTTTGATATAGTATACATTATGATATTTATATTAGTTAATACGATACGTATCTATTAGCCTTAATCAAAAATCTTACCACTTAATACTTGCTGGGCGGAAATGAAAAAAAAAATATCTAAGAGATAATACGAAGCAATCGGAAAGTAGTTAATTACACATTAACACAAAGAGACACACGTACACACTCACAGTCAGGGGTCTTCAGAGCTGGATCTGTTTCAAAACGATCGATATCTTTGTACTTATGTATATTACCGATCAGTAAGATTTCATTTAAATAATTTTACCACATCACAACAAAAAATGTATTGAATAACTCCTTAATTCCTCACTTCCAAATGCGTACCTGGCCACGGCTCGCCACGGGCGATAGTTTTCCCACGGTCGCGAACGCTCCGCGGCCAACAGTACCGCCATTTACATGCCCCCACTACCGTATTACACAACCAACGTGGCGTGAGCATGCCAACAGAGCGGGCCGCACACGTCACAGTGACTAATGCACTTAGCCGGGTAATTGGCGTAAAAGTGCCAAAATCGGAGCGTCATGGCGACACAACCCTACAGTATTAATGATCGGTGCTGTCTTCACCTAGTCGTAAAATAATATCTTCAGCGTATAATTTTCCCACCTCGATAGCGAAATTTAAGTATAAGTTTGCTGCTAATGGGGTTCGCAATACTTTACGATTTCCGAAATATCTTAACATAGGTATTTTCTCACTTCAGTCACACATCAAAATTACTTTTAGAAAGTAAAAAAATGTAGTCTCTACTTTTATTAAATACTTTAATCTGCTTCGGAATGTCGGTAAAGGTAGCTTTTAGAAAGGCTTGGTTTTAAAAATGAGACGAACACAAAACACCCCACTATAATTTGGTTGTTATAAGCAAAGGAAAGACCTCTACTTAAAAATCGCGTTCATGTTTAATGATTTAAACACAATTTTAAAGCTTATTTATGCCGCTTTTAACGAAAAATAGTCAAATAGAATAAAATTACTTTTTTCATAAAAACATTTGTTTAATGTTTTTAATAAAGTATGTATGATAATGCCATCTATTGACAATTTGTTTAAATGAAACATAATGAAGTAACCGGAAAAATGTTATTCTTCAAAATAAAATACCTTTCATTCAAAGTCAAAATTTCTTTATTCAATATAGGCTTAACTTAAGCTCCTACTTGAATTGATTTAGTGGAATTTATGTAAAAACCAGGTAGCTATTATTGCAGTTTAAAGTTGTCCTAATCGATCTTGAACTATACTGATATTTTCCAGTGTTGATTTCGATTAACCTTCGGGTTGTCTCCCAAAATTTAATAAATGGAGGTAACCATACACACTAGTGATATTTTCCTTGACAGTTTTTTGCTACGCGTCCTGTCTAACCTAACCTGTCTTTGTATTACCTATATTCAGAACTAGATTCCACTTCAGTTCTAGTTCACTTTGCAATTTTTCTCTATCTAATCTTTTTAGGGCGCGTATTGCTGATAGGCATTTAAACGGTCGTAACTGTAGTTCTTCATTACCGAGACAACTCATTTCTGCCAAGAGCTTCGTATTTCCTGTCCATAATATCTCCAGCAAAGAAGCGACTGAAAGCAACAGGCTATAATTATTAACCCGAGCCGCCCATTCAACTCTCTCAGACGCCTCGTATAAATCCTAATTAGTGGGTTGTTTGATTATTCACAATACTTTAATGATTTCTAAAGCGTCGTCTAATTTCAGTTTTGAAATTAGAAACAGATTGGATTTTTAAGAGCCTATTGCTAATATCCTCCATTTCAATTTGCACATTTAAAGAAATACCGGTGATTTATTATCTAAGAATCGATAAATAAAATTAATTTACGAAATGTACGTAAGTAAATGTATGTAAGTTATACTTCTTGGGCGTAACATGATAAAAATCTTTTCAAAAATTTTATCTTTCGCCTTATTCTACGTTTGTAGAAAAATCTACACTAACAATAGAAAAAAGGTATTTAATACATTGAAAGTTTTATTATAACCTATTATCTAGTTAAATAAAGTTTATTTAAATATCACAATAATACACAAAATAAATATCGTGAATACAATTGTATCGATGACGTCAGTTCTCACGCAAACATACGTAGATGTCTAGCTAACTTCAGGGTGTCGGTTTTTCGTGACGGTGTGCGCGCGCATCGTAAAAATTTACTCTCATAATCTTTCCCTAACGCGCCAAAAGAAGTATAACTTCAAAAATTGACGGTCGTCACCTCAATGGGAACCTCCAGATGAGGACAATGAGGACGCCGTATTCTAATTGACCGGAAGATCTCCTATAAGTCTCGAAAGCTGTTTATACCCATAGTATCACTGATTTGTGGTCTAGACCATTCTCACCGTTTGAGTGGTTAACATCAGTGGACAAACGTCAGTACTATTCTGAATGGTTCTTAAAGTTAAATCAAATATAATAGTTGTGCGAAGCCAAATGATTTAACAGACCTCCAAATGAAAAAGTTATACGTTTACAAGAAAAGCTGTTTCCTTGTTTTATGTTTTCATTTTTCTCAAGAGTTTCGTCCGCTAAAATAAATAAATTCGCAAATCAATCGCGTCACTCGTGGACATTAGAACACAGAATGAAGCTATCATTGTCTAAACTAAAACTATATAGTTATAACACGCGATTTATTGAGAAAAGCGATCGCCTCCCGTTCCCACGGTCAGGTTTCCGGCCGAGGCGAATTTTGACAGATAACTATAGAATCACTAACAACCCGTGTACGGACAGAAGAAACGTTAATAAATATTGATCGATCGTTGTGTCGATTGCTCTAAAGGGGTAAACGGCTTAACGCTGCGTTTGTAACGTTAAGACCCGTTGTTTGTAACAATGCTAAATACGGTTATAATGTAATGTAAGTCAATCGAAGGGGATAAAAGCCGTCCTTGGTTTAATTATTTGTTCTTTACGGTTCGGAATTCGTATATTTCTTGTGTGGAAAAGAGAAAAGCTCATGTAGACAAGCAGAATTTTGTTGCCTTACCTCGTCCTGTTTTGGACAAACTATTGACGATCTTAGTGTTATGACAATTTTTCTATTTTGATGGGACTTCAATAGGACCATATAGCTTGTTAATTTTCATACGTGGACCCCATGAGCAATATCATTTTCATTTTTCATCTTCCTTCGAAAATTCTTATGTTCTTAAGCATAAAAATGTGGTCACATCAAAATTAAAAAATAAACAAATTGAAGTTTTAATAAATTTTTTCACGCTTTTGGTGGATTTGTTTTCAATTTCGATCTATTCTGTTGTTCGTCCCAGGGAAAGAATGATCGTCGATTAGATTCGCGGGCGCCGAACTAGTTTTGTAAACTATCCACAGACACTCGTTTTATTATCCTCATCGCCTGCGATATTTTATTTTGTGCCGGTTTTTTATATATAAAAACTTTTTAGAGTAGTTTTCACAACGAAACGATCATACTCTTAAGTATAGACCTGCCATTGAAAGAAAGAAAGAAAGAAAGAAAACATTTATTGCTCAAATACGCCACATGTACATTTAAACCATAAACAAAAATTACATAATAAAAAGAAAAAAAAAAGAAGAATAAAAAAATATTAAATACATTACACATTTTACGCACACAATTGTGTGTGGCGTATACGGCAAACAGACCACACTCAGCTTAATGCCGCAGTCGATACGAGACTACAGCGCTGGTTTTCAGTGGGCCTGTGAATTAAGTGACGTACGGACGTTCACACCGTCATTTAAAAACAAATAATAATTAACATAAATTACACGAATGAACTAACTGGATCTAATGAAAAAAAGAAAGGAAAAGAATGTCCCATTGAAGAATACATTATGTCGCTTTTAAATGCGGGGTTAATTAAAACGATCCAAATATCAAGCAAATCCTTTCATCGTTTCAATAATGACTTGGTAATGATATTTTAACACGAAATATTCAGGTTGTTTTGAAACATCACATCAGCTGTGAAGTGTCTTTAATAAAGGCGATGGTTTTAGAGTCGTTTCAATTCTTTGCGGTTTCAATTCATTGCGTTTTTTAGCTATCGTATAGGTTTATGGATATTACGGTTAAGCTGAAGCTATGTTCTTGTCCAATTCAAAATTTATACATGTATTTGTCTGCTCCTTAATATCGTTTGTGGCTAAAATATTTAGTTAGTATACTACAGTCAGCTTTACTTTTATTGCCCTATAGAAGTTTTGGCTTTAGTAAATAATTGGAATACTCCATGTAAATGCAAATAAAATTTAGAGGGGGCATATTCAGCACCTTGAAACTAGCCTTTATTTATTTACGGTGGTAGGGCCACGCAGCAGCCTCGGCTGTTGCACGAATGGGCAGGCCCGTCCGGGTAATTACCACGACCTCACAGAAGACCAGCGTAAAGTGGAAGTATGACAAATATCTCGCGTTTCGGCTGGTGAGTGAGGTGGCCGGAGCCCAATTTTCACACGGTTGTCAACACATCTGTAACCCTCGGTTCTGGCAGATGTTCATGGGCAGCGGTATTCAGTTAACACAGGTAAACCGTCTGCTCGTTTGACAAATTTTCGCATAAAAAAAGCCTAATCATTAACCAACCAATAGACATCACACTCTACATGTAGATTACTGTACGAAATCTTTCCTCTCTAAAGATTACCATAAAGCTCTATCATGATATTTCGGCATCCTCCGATCTTAAAATCATATGACCTTGTCGATAATTGCACTGCCATTGGTGCAAGAAGTCTGAAACGTCGTTGCCAAACCAATGGCAAAAACCTATCGCAATAGTTGCAAAATCTCTATGTCATCGATATGTAATAAATAACTCGATGGTCTTGTAATGTTGTCAATGGATAGCATAAAAAAAGTCCTTTCAATTCATAAATTGCGGTTTGCTAAATGAAATGATGTTCAAATAAAACTGAATATCCTGTCGCATTCGTATTATATTTAAATAACGGAAATATATCTTTTTTTTCCTAAGTATTTCGGGACATATTTTTACACAACGTTATGTAGTCCCAAAGCTTGTACTATGGATTACTTTACTGATAAACATTCTTAAACGTACTTTTCTTTTTGTAAATATATATATATACTATAGACATATAGACACTAGAAAAATACTATGTTCATCGCACAATATTTTTCCAGTAGTGAGAATCGAACCCACCCCCTCTGGCGCTCTATCCACTACGCCAATTGGTCTTGTTACTTATAAAATCTTGTTTGTCTCTAGCCACTGTCAGTAATATCGCTCCAATTATGATATGATTATAAATTATTTATTCATTTAAATGTCAAAATATTAAAAAACAAATGTTTTTGCAGAGCAACAATTCATAGAAATGCATATTTATTCTAGTTCAACATGATGCGCTTAAATTTGTGG